AAAACTTAACATAGTTCTAAAATTCAGAACTATTCAAAAAGGTTTACCCAAGAATTGTCCCTCCTCTCATCTCTTCTACCCTGTTCTTATTCTCTCAACTTTCCCACTGTATTTCCACCCACCCTCTCTAGGTAACCAATCTCATTGATTTCTGGTCTATCTTTCCTGTGTTTCTTTCTCCATAAATGAGCAAATATACATGCATTTTCTTATTTCTTCTTCTCTCTTACAGAAAAAGCAGTTTCAGTGGAGGAGACCACGTTGATCCATTAAATATGTTTCGATAGCTTTGAATCTCAGAGGGAGAAGTTTGAAATCTCAATCCTTTTCTTCTCAGAAGTCCATTGTGGACAGGTCGATTTATTTTGCAAATTTACCTATCTTTACCTCAAGAACATTCAAACGCATCTACCAGTGGGAATGTAGGGGAGGGGGTGACCAGGGTTCTGCCCATTTACAGAATGTAGATGTGACCTCGCACTAGATAAAATGCTATAGGATGCTCCCTTCAAAATGCTGGGTCGTGGGCCTTGATTCAGTTGATGGCTATTATGGTCACCTTCCCTGAATAAACATTACTCAAAGTGACCTGATGTCTTTACTGCTTAAAGCAGCTTCCACGACATAGTAGTCCTTTCTATGGTTGGGCTTATCATTCCATATGGTCAAGGAAAAATCCTTTTGAATGGAGATTCTGTGACCATCCATACAAGCTCTGCCTCTCAGCATTATATTAGCCACAGATTTCAGGACCTCACCTTCTATGTTTTCACCTAAGTTAAAAATGCTGAAAAAGTTAAAGGCAAAGGAGGACATTTTTAGTACTTCACTGGAGACCTCCCTCAACATGGGCTATGATCTATTAGTCAATATTCTATGGCTGCGGTTCTTCAACAAACCAGACAAGATCTCCCTGTATTAGTATCCTTTTATTCTTGGCCTTATCTTCCCTGAGAAGTTAAACATTTTCTAGATAGTCTAAATTGAGAACAACTCTCATCATATTCTTTTTGAGGGTTTGGTTATCAAGCAACATTCCAACTAAACAAATGTAGATTTCCCTTTTGGGGAGTAGAAAGGGAAGCTAAGTAGATTGGTCAACAGGAATGAGAGGGAACATCCCATTATATTTTAACCAGTGTGTAAAGAAGACTCTTAAGCAATCAACTATTTGGGCCTTTCTCTTCAGAGTAATTTTTGTACAGAAAATTGCTGTTGGGATGAAGCTTTGTAGCTTTGGAGTCCTTATAGCCATCGTCCTCATCTGTGAGCAGCATGTCTTCGCATTTCAGAGGTAACTCAGTAGAATCCTAGTCTGTGGTGGGCCAGCTTCTACGCTTGTTTGCCTCACAGCAAATCAAGTCAGTGCACTGGGCTGGGGAACGAAATGTTAAAGTCTGAAGGCTGGCTCTCTCAGAAACTTTCTAAGTTGTCTTGACAAACAAATGGATTTCAGTACAACAGGCTATCACTAGATATAGGGTCTTTTTCTTTTGTGGTTGTAATATTATTGCTGTGAGAACCCCAGATGATATGTATGTTCAGCGGCTATGAAGATTAAAGAAATGGAATTTTTATGAAAGATTATTTATACCCCAACATGTCACATGATTTATATTTTTCCTGTCTTTACATATAAAATATGTTAACTATGGGTCATTTATTTTCCTCTTGTACATGAAACATGGGAAGGAGAAGAGGGTAAAGGTCTTAAAAGGCAGGTTTGGGTCATGCATGGTTATTCAGCATGAAATATGAAAGGAAGAATGGTTGTGTTATAAAGAACACATACATGAACATATCTAATTCTTACTTTGCTTAGTAGAGTGATTCCCTTAGGATTTTCTACCATAACCTACTTAGAAGAACACAAATGAACTCATGCCATAGCATATATAATACATGGAGTGAATAGTTCCAGGGTACATGTAATGTTGTGATTTACTAACTAGTCAATTTTTAGGCTTTTGATAATTGACATTGTTTCCTTTGGAATTATCTTATTCCTCTCTCCCCCTTTTTTCCTTTTTCTCATTTCTTTTTTTGTTTTGTTTTGCTTCTATGACCCCTTTCTTCTTCAGTTATCTCTGAGACAGATCCTTCTCCTCTCATTAGTGAATGGCAAAGAGAGAAAGGACATGAGCAAAGGAATATACTAGGGACAGATAAAATTCTACCAAAAAGCTTTCTTGAGTCATAAATAACCATAAAGCAACAGTTCAGAGAATGGATCTTGACTCATGAACCTGAAGATGTATTTATTCATGATCACTGAATGAACTATAATTGGTTGATTCTTTTTTGTTCCATATGATTGTCAAGTGTCAAGCAACAAATTCTATCATCAAATAATGGTTGTGATTTAATTGACAAGGAGGCCCAAATTTCTAGAATAATTGGTGACTTAGTTCTCTATATTTTATCAATAAAGCAGAGGACTGTGATTTGAAGGTTCTTGCTAGTTCGGATATTCCATAGCTTCATGATTGGCTTTAATTAAGGGAAAAGGGCGGGGGAAGAAGGAAAGTTGATATCAACATGTCCAACTTGGTTACTGCTATCAGTGGCAATATCAGTGACAGTGAGGGGGAAGGGAGGAAACCTCCGGTTATTTAAGTACCTATGTTTGCCCCGTGCGCTTACCTTTCTAAGGGCTAGGCACTTAGAAATGTCACCTGTTTAAATGCCTACAATCCTACACTCTAGGAATCTTTACCAACAATTTACAGAGGAGGAAACCGAGCCTCAAGAAGAGTAAATCATTTGCCTGAGATCAAGCAATAAGTGTCGACTTTGGATTCAAATCCACTTTAGCCTCATTTCAACTCGTTGCACTGCACAGCATTACCTCTAAAAAATCTAGAAGTATGAAGAAAACCAGTAAGAAGGGAGGTCAGATTTAGTCTCAGTGAGTTGGAGAAGACAGTCGGTTTCGAATATAACCTGGAAGAGAGGCCTGGACTGGAGGTCGACTCTCACGTCCTCACCTACTAGCAGCTCCAAACGGCCCCAGAGCCAGCCCAGCACAGGCATTGTCAGCGCTGGCTGTTGCCGAGCTTCAAGGGTGGGCAGATTCACCTGCAGAGCGCCATCTTCCTCATAGAGTGACCTAAACTCCTGGATAGGATAACCGGCAGCAAGACACACCAAAAGCTTTACCACATCTCTTCAAAATGAGTAAGTGTATAGCAGCTTCGTGGGACTAAATATAATGCAAATAAGGGAAATAGAAAAAAAAAACAGTGAAGAAATGAGTGAGAAGATTACTTCATGCGTGGATTTTCTTACTATGTTTTGCTTCAGTTTATACTCTGCAATCTGATTGACACTTATACTTGAAGAAAGGAATGAGACTATGACTATATTTTAACCAAATAATATCACATTGAAAATATGAATACTTTTTGCACACTGTGAAGGTCCCTATGTACGGGGGTCGGGGAGGCTTCACCGTAGCAGATGCATATCTGAATCCTGGTTTCCATCCCTTCTCTAGAAATAACATACTCCTTTCTGTGAGTAAGAAGAATTTTTTACCATGTTTCCGAGCACTGCTTTTCCAGCAATAGCCTATTACTGAAGCTCGAAAGGAAATCTAATTTCATTCAGAGTGACAGACTTTGATAAATTATTTCTGGGAGCAAGAATATAAACGCTTCTAAAGAGAACTAACTTTTCCTAAAGCTGTTCTTTGTTATTGTTTTTTTTTTTTCTTTTTTGGCGTGATCATTTTCCTAATAACAGTTTGTATTCAGGCAATCTTAGCAGTTGATTTGTGGGTGCGCTTTGATAAATCTCATCAGTGAAATGCCCTCGAACGACAGCAACAGCAAAAAGTTTTAAAGGCGTAATACCATATGCCAAAGAGAAAGGCAGCCAAAGAAACAGATCTCCATATTCACTTGCTTTTTAAGGCTAAACACTGTAAAGGGTAAAAATAAAGTACTTGCAGGAATCTTGTAAACAGTCATTAATTGTATTGTGCAATGATCACCTAGGTGCAGCCTATCAGCCCAGGCTATTTGGAAAGACGTGAGAAAACAGTAGAAAGAAAAGAAGGAAAGGAAATGGCAGCTGGAGGAGGGTTGAGGATTGAGAGATTCTGAATTATTGCTAGACCATAGGAAGTGTTCCTTCTGTTGACTTCAAATACTATCTGGCTACCCGGAGACCAGCTTATTGTCTTTCACTTAGCTCCTACTGATGTATTATTTTCATCTCAAAGAACAAGCTACCAATGGCCTTAAAACACTGTAATGCATAAAACAAAATTACAGCCTCAGGCTATGTTCTATTGTTCAGAGGCATCTCACCAGGTTTTTAGATTCAAAATAATCTTTCATGACTATGACAAGTGTGAACCTTCCCCTATAAACTGTAGTGGGGGATGAACCCTGATGGACATAATCTTAATCATAATGCTCAGAAGGGAAGGAACAGCAGCAGTGTCGCATCGGTATTAAAAGCTAGTATCACTCTCCTAGTGGTGAGAAGAAAGAAAGAGAGAGAGAGGAGTGGGGGGGAGAGAGGGAGAGAGGGAGGGAAGGAAGAAAGGAAGGAAGGGGAGAGAGAGAAAGAAAAACTCAGCATCTGGAGAGTTGAGCTGGAACCCCAGATCTGCTACTTACTAGCCATGGAGCTTTGGACAATTCCCTTGTCTTCATTGAGTCTCACTTTACTTCTTGTGTAAAGTGACCTGTTACTTCATTGTGCTTATACTTCTCATTCTATTTTTGGTGCAAGCTTGTTTTTTTTCTCAAATGGTTATTGTGTGCATGCTATAACTGTATCATTCAGATCAAAACACATCTTTATTTTTCATCTCCTGTTGCTGCATGACATTCTACATAGTGGGGTTATCTTTCCTTGCTCTTGCATAGAAAGTTAGGAGATTTCATGGCTTTTCAGCCCAGTCTTAAGTAACTGACAGCCCTTGGATAGTGTTAAAAATGCAAACAGCCTCAATTCAGAAATTAGAATGTCAGCTCTAACCAATATATTATTCAAGTATTTCAATCCTTGTTGTTAAAAGGAAAACTTTGAGTGAATTAAATTTAACAGAGTTTAATTGAGCAAAGAACAATCTGTTTTTGAAGCAGCCCTCAGGACCAGAAGAGGTTCAGAGAGCTCTGCTCAGCAAGGTGGGCAGGTGGCATTTATGGACAGAAAATGAAAATGAGGTACAGAAGCAGCTTGATTAGTTACAGCTCACAGTTTGCCTAACTTGGGCATGGTCTGATTAGTTGGCCACCTGTAACTGGCTGAGACTCACCTAGTTGTTAACAACAAAAAAATACTCCTAAGTTAGGTTGCAGTTTGTTATGTAGGGACTCAAGTTATGGAGGCATCCTCATGCCAAATTTAGTTTAACATTATTTATAGGAAAACAACCACCCTGAATCTTCCACACACATTCCTGACTCTTTCTCCTTAGTCTATTTCTTGAGTTTTAACTTCTTAAAGTTGTGTGAGACCCCTTGTTGGGGAATTCTCTGGGCCAGGACAGATACTTCTCGACGTAGGTGGCTACTTGTAACTCCATCCTTCACCCTTGGGAATCTTGCTTCTGTCACCGGGTTCTTGTTGCTGAGATCCCACCATCCCTTTAGGTGACCCTATTGGACGGCATCTGAGTTATAACGACCTAAGGTGAAGTGTTTCTTCTTTTGATTTTAATTACTATCTAGCCAACTGAAGACCAGCCACAAGCAGGTTTAGCTTTCTCAGGGACAAACCAGACACCAGACTTGTGCCTCTAAACCTGGGGACACATTCAACTCTCCCATCGTCTCCTAGAAGTCCGTCCTTCTAGGTTGAGGTGGAGGATTAGCACCCCAAAACTTCATCCCCTTTCGGAGGGTAGGGACTTACAGAACTACATAACTTACCCAAAGAAATATCTTCACAAATCTTCTCTCCTCTCTGCTTTTTATAGCCTCTCCCTGAGTAAGGGAGTACAGAGTCATGAAACCAGTTTTCAAAAATTATAAATGCTACATAGAGTGAACCAAGAGACCCTCATCCCGTTACATGATTCTACTGTGTTGACACTTCAGTCAAATCTGACATAGGAAGAGTCCAGTTCACAAGTTGAACTTGGACATATCAATATATTTTATGGTGGATTTTTTTTTTTTTTTTGAGACAGAGTTTCACTCTGTTGCCCAGGCTAGAGTGCCGTGGCATCAGCCCAGCTCACAGCAACCTCAAACTCCTGGGCTCAAGCAATCCTCCTGCCTCAGCCTCCAGAGTAGCTGGAACTACAGGCATGAGCCACCATGCCCGGCTAATTTTTTATATGTATATTTTTAGTTGTCCAGCTAATTTCTTTCTATTTTTTCAGTAGAGACAGAGTCTCACCCTTGCTCAGGCTGGTGTTGAACTTCTGAGCTCAAACAATCCGCCTGCCTTGGCCTCCCAGAGTGCTAGGATTACAGGCGCGAGCCACCGCGCCCGGCCTTATGATGAATTTTTACTTCATAATTTTACTCCTCAACATTTCCTAACTTATTTTTTATGTTTCCTTAATTTATTTTCTCCATAAGAAAGAGGCTCATTTGCATAACCTATCTTTTACTTTTATAGTTTCTTTCTCTCTTTCTGTTGACTAACTTTGGTACTTTCTCCTTTTTTAATACATCAGATTTTTCTTTATTTAGCATTGTCCACTCGACGTTCTTTGTTCATTATTTTCGATGTAACAGCTTCTCTACCACTGCCTTGCGAGAATTAAATACAAATGCCTATAAAGCACTTAGCATAACATCCAAGTTAGTAAATATCAGTAAAAAAGAAGAAAAGTCCCCCAAAATCTTATCTTCTAGTAAAAACAAGACTTGGACATGGAAGTGAAATTCAGCCTTTGTGTAAATAATGGAGAGCTCATTGCTTGGTAAGACATCCCATCTCGTTAGTGCAATTTCTTAGGGAGTTTATTGTAAAATTATAATGATTTAATTATATTAACCCCCACTTCTTTATACTTTCATCAAAAGAGAGCTTTGAGTTTGCCAACTCTTTTGCATAAACTCCTGAAGTGGTGCCCACCCACCTTGTAAATGAGGACCACAATCCTGACCCCAGCATTTAAGATCCTTAATGATCAGGTCCTAGCCTGTCATTCATCCTGGCTTTATTTCTTGGTACATCTCAACATCGGCCCCATATTCCTGCCCACCTGGATCATTCACCCTTCCTCGAGCTCTGATTTTATTTTTTCACTTGTGCATTTATGCCATTTAATCACCAATTTATTTATCAAAATTCTGCCTATGTTAGTCTTATGCCACTTCATTTCCCCTTCACCTGTCAAATACCAGCTATCTCAGAAGTCCAACTCACAATATCTCCATTCTCTGCCAACCTTTGCCAGAAACGATTTCTGACTTTGTATCCCTGTAGCAGCGTATTTCTACTACTCATATCACATTTTTAGTGTTTTATCTCACACAGTATGCATTTGCATCTGTTGCAGGCTAGTTTCCCCAGGAAACAGATTCTGAGATGAAGATTTACATGTAGGAAATTTGCAGGAAAGGGATCTCAGGGCCAACATCTGTGGAGGAATGAAGGAAGGAGAATTGGACAGAGGAGGAATTAAACTGTGATGCAGACACAACAAAGATCTCAACTGCTCCTACCAGGAGCCTCGAAGCTGGGTTGGCCTGGCATAGTTGTCCCAATTGGGGCAAGCAGGTATGCCTTTGTAACCCCTGTTTATTAGTGATCAGGTATGGGCTGACCTTGGGAGGGGGCATAACCTTGGGTAACACAACCCTCTTCAGTCAATGGCAAGTCCTAGAAGGGGACTCAGCCGAGAGTGTCAGCTGCCAACATTCCCAGATGCTGAGGAAATGAGAGTTCATCCTGGATGAGGATCTGGGCAGCATAACATGACAGCTACTATAGTCCACTCCTGTGCCACTCAGATCAACTTGACTCATGAGATAAGCTTTGGGAGCAGCTCTTCTGGGATTATGGTTGTTTTCTTTTCCTAGAACAAACATACAAGAGGAACATTAGTGGGATAAACCACCTACAACCTCCACAGCTAAAGCTAGTCTTGAGACCATAACAAACCCTCTTCCTTCCCAGTCTCCACCACCCATTCTAGTTCCCCTCACCCTTGGCTAGCACCTGTTCCGGTCTAGGTGGTTTACCTGGTGAGATGGCTTATACTCTCAACCCTCAAGGGTCTGAGCCCCAATCACCGTGCCCTCTCAGGCCATGGCTGCTGCACTTGTCTGTATACATCAAAATTGGACAAGGGAGTATTAGAGATTGCCTAAATTTATTACCTGGATGCCAAACATATCCTCCCCTGCCACACCCACTGTGTAGGTGCAGCCTTCAGTGTCCTGATGATCAAGGTCAATTGCCCCTCCAGCATGGTAACTCCTCTCCTTCCTAATGAGCTATCTGCATGAGGAGATGGAAATGGCTAGGTAGCAATAATAGCTTTCAGCTTAATAGGACTCTTACTGTCCTCCTTGTGGAAGCATTTCTCCTCTGGGAACCAGAACTTTCAGACTTACAGAACCATATTTGTAGATTTAAAGTATAAATTCTCCAAGTGGGTCACTAGGAATGATGGTGAATGGAACCACTCCAACTTGGTTCCTGGAACCATGTATTCTACCCAGGAAGGACACAGCACCATATAATGATAATTGACTTAAAGTGTATACTGTACCCCAGAGAATGGCGCCTCTTCCCAAGCTATCACCTCAATTAATCCTTTGACAGGCCATTCTAATTGCTGTATCAGGCTAGCAGCTTCCAGGTGATGTGATATGTGATAGGCCCAGTGGATTTCATGGTAATGTTCCCATTTCTGCACCTCCCCTGTTGTAAAGGGGATCCCTTGATGTGATACGCTGTTACGTGGGATTTTGTATCAGGGAATTGAATGCTCTGTAAGCCCTTCTATTGTGATGCTGCCTGAGGCTCTGTGGGCAGGAGAGGCAAACCCCACACCCAGAGTAGAAAGGGACAGATGTAGTCAATTTGCTACCAGGTGGTTGGTTGGTCTCCTCGAGGAATAGTGCTGATTCATGAGGCTCAAATTTGGTCTTTGTTGCTGGCAAGTTAGACATCTGGTGGCAGCAGTAGCTAGATCAATCTTGGTGAGAGGAGCCCATGCCGTTGGACCTGTGCATAGATTCATCTCTGCCATCATACCTATTCCATTCATGTGCCCTTTGTGCCAACACTGGTGTGGGTGTTGCTTCCTATTGCTGCTATGACAAATTACTGGAAAATTAGTGGTTTAAAACAACACAAATTGATCTTATTTCTGTAGCTCAGAAATTCAAAGTGGGTCTCACTGGGCTAAAATCAAGGTGTCAACCAAGACTTTGTTCTTATCTGGAGGCTCTTGGGGAGAATCCATTTCCTTTTTTTTCAGCTTCTAGAGGCCACCCTCATTCCCTGGCAACACCCATGCCATCTCAAAATTGCTCACATGTTACTATGTAAGGTAACAAATTCACAAGTTCTGGGGATTAGGACATGGACTCTTTGGGAGGCCATTATTCTGCCTATCATAGTGAGTATGACAGAACCCAGCTCATACTGGACAGGACCAGCCTCATGACCTCTTGTCATATGGTCAAGCATTTTATCTTTACCAGTAGCATGCCAGGAATTATTTTTCAAAAGGTGTATTCTAAGCCAGGTGTGGTGGCTTAGCCTGTAGTCCCAGCTATTCCGGAGGGTGGGGGCGGGGGCGCTGAGACAGGAGGATCACTTGAGCCCAGGAGTTCGAGGCTATAATGTGCAATGATTGTGCCTGTGAATAGCCACTGCACGCTAGCCCGGGTGACATAAAAAGACACTGTCAGCCCCCCCAATCCCCCAAAAAAGGTGTATTCCCACCACCGATGCCTCTAATCCCATATGGTCTGCCAGGCCACATGGCCCAAGTGGCAGGGTTTCTTGCACCACAGTTTGAACCTTTCTGCTCTCATCTTTTCACAAAGAAGATAGCCTTTCATGGTGTCTAATAGATGGGTTGAAGCAGTATTTCCAAGTGAAGCATATTCAGAATCCAAGAGACCTACTAGAAAGTGTGCTTTCTTCTTTGTCATGGGAGGCATAAGATGAAATCATTTGTCCTTTATTTCATGGAGGATATCCCAGCCTATCCCAGAACACTAGACCCCTAAAATTTCCCTAATGTGACAGGCCCCTGACTCTTTGTAGTATTTATACCCTACCCTTGGGAGCACATGTGTTTTGCCAATGCCTCCAATGTACTTGCCACTTCTTGCTCTTCTGGTTCAATATGAACATGATGTCATTGATATAGTGGACTGGAATATCCAGACAGGCTAGTTCCCTTTAGACTATATTATCACAGAGAGTGGGAATGTTAATTAAAGCTGAGGCAAGACTGTAAATATACACTGGGGTCTGTCCCAGGTGGATGTTCCCTGTTTCTGAGGCTTTGTTCTGCCAGGGATGGCCAGCTCAATGGCTGAGTACCGTATACTTGAGGCTCTGCCCAGCAAAGATGCCACAGCAAGCACAGTGACTGCAATGGCCATCCTTGCTTGGTTGACTTTTGTCATCCATGTCATCCTCCAGCGTCCGTCTGGTTTTTGTGGGGGCCAGGTAGCAAATTAAGTGTCGATTTGGTGGGAACCACCATCCCTGCATCCTTTAGGTCTTTAAGGGTGGTACTGATATCTGCCATTTCCCCTAGGATGTGTTTTTTTTAAAAATTTTGCTACCTTGGCAGGGAGGGTGGGCAATTTTAGAGATTTCCTTTGCCTTTTACCACTATGATAGCTCTTACCTTATAGGCAAGGAACCAATGAGGAGGTTCTGCCAATTATCTAGTATGTCCATTTCAATCATAGATTTGGAGACCAGGGAAACGATCATGGGGGATCCATGGACACAGTGCACCCACTGTGAGCTAGGCTTGGGCTAGGACTCTGGATCCCCAGGTTTCAACGTCAACTTGGACCCTGCATCCAACAGACTCCTAAATGTCTGAGTTTCACCATTTCCCCAGTGTGCAGTTACCTGACTAAATCGCCATAGTTCTCTTTGGGAAGGGGTTAAAGGAATCATGATCCTTTCAGATACTTTCTACACTGTTGCAGGGTCTTTCCTCATGGGGACCTGACTCCTCCTTCAGGCAAGAAATTCTGAATATAAGAACTAGCTCAGGTCTGGAAACTAGGCAATGGATTGGAATAGCTGTCCTCAGCCTCTCTCGTTATTCATCCCTGACTTATTTTTATTGTAAATATTGAGCAATACTTTTGTTGGCTGCTCATCTATCTTATCCCTGAGAACTCTGTGTTCTCTTAACCAACTCCATAGCTTTCTGAGGGTCATGTCCTCTGGCTGCTGCTCTAACCTTACTGCTGATTACAATAACTGTGCCCAAATTGCTACTGGTGGTTAAGCCCTGCCACCTGGCATCTATTATGTAGGGATCTCATCGTTCCCATTGCTATCAGGGACTTAGTTCTGTAATGGCACGCCCTACAGTCAGCCTTCCAGATCTACTCCCACCTCCTGGCCTCCAAGCCAATAACTGGGGTAAAGTCATGATACAACCTGGCTGTAGAGGTGTGGGCATGTTAATAAAGAAATAGACTATACCCCAAGGGAGGTGCACTTGCCCATGCTATGGGATTTCACATTCTAGTTAGGTCCTTGGGAGGTGGTACTAGCATGCTGCTGGGTTGGTTTTTGGAAGCTTGAAGAAAGCAGTGGCCTGCACCAAGTGAACTAGAAATGTCAGAACTGATGTGGCAAATGGTGGAAAAGAGGTCAAAAGATTTATAGAATGGGACATACTAGAATAAAAATGTTACGTAAAGCTAGAAAACCCACTGGGTTACTATGCTCCACCAGGGACCCAGAGGACATTCTGTTTATTAAAACAATAAGAAATGGTGCTGGTGAGATATGAGGGTCACCAGCATCACTGAGAATCTTGGTAGTGGCTTTTTCATAAAGTATCTTTTTTTTTTTTTTTTTTTTTTTTTTCTTTTTTTTTTTTTTTTTTGAGACAGAGTCTCATTCTGTTGCTGAGGCATGAGGGCAGTGGCATCAGCCTAGCTCACAGCAACCTCAAACTCCTGAGCTCAAGCAATTCTCCTGCCTCAGCCTCCAGAGTAGCTGAGACTATAGGCATGTGCTACCATACCCAGCTACAAAGTAGCGTTTTAATAGTTTTTTTGTCTCTGAATAAATAAAAGAATGAGACTTCTTTATGTTTAAAAAAGTAAATAATATGGAAAAGCATAAAATTAAGGAGAAAAACACTGAAACTTCAATACTCTGAGAAAATATCTTTAATACTTCGGTGATCGTTCTTTTATGCATTTCGCTATGCATTGATACATCCCTGTGTAAAATTTGTTGAATATCTTATCTCTTATCGGCGCTATAGATACCTTACTTTTAAAAACAATCTTATTTGTACCCCCATCCTTCAATTGCCATTCCTCACCCTCCA